TTCCCACCCTTCCGGCGCCCTCGTTCCTAGGGTCTCCATCCTGTTGCTTTTATTTCAGCGTCAAATAAAAGCGTCTTTTACTCATTACTTTTATCGATTCCTCCTGCCATCTATTATGCCACGCTGGGAAATATTTCCTCTCTTTCATGAAGCGACTTCCGACTGGTGTGAGAATAGGCGTTTCAAGTAATAAAATTTGAAATGTAAAAGAAATGTAAACACACAAATTAAACCGAATTATTTATTTAATCTTATCATTCCCGCATAAATAACATGCAATCAGTCTTTCTCAGAGCTTGCAGCCCCGGAGTCTCAGCGACGCCTCCCTCTCCTTCAGGACGCGGCTCAGCGTCGAGATGGACACGTTCAAATCCTCCGACATCTCGCGCAGATCCTCCGACTCGTACGACGCCACCTGCTTCAGGAGGACGACCTTCTCCTGGCGGCTGATCGACCTGCCCGACCACCTCGTCCTCAGCCGCGACCACCAGCCCCTCACCAGCGACGAGCAGGACGAGGCGCTGCCGCCCACGACACGCCCTTCTCTCCGTCCCTCTGAGGCCTCCAGGGCGGGGGACCTCGACACGCGGTTCTTCTCCTTCAGGATGCGGCTGAGGGAGGAGATGGAGATCCCCAGGCTCTTGGAGACGGCTCGGAGGTTGGCGGGGCCCCCGTGCGAGTCGATCTGCTGCAGGATGTGGGCCTTCTCCCTCGCCGTGTACATCCTCAACCTGAAGGCGTCGGCGCAGAAGAGCTTCCTCAGGCGAGAGAAACACGCCCTGGCCAGCTGCGAACACCGAGACCAGCTCAGCGACCGGACGCCCGCCTCTTCGGCCTTCGGTGTGCGAGGACTCCCTGCCAGGCCGCGGCTGATGGCTTCCCGCTCCTTCAGGATGCGACTCAGGCACGAGATGGAAACCTCCAGGTCCTTCGCCACACGACACAGGTTACGAAGGCCTCGGGAGTCGATCTCCCGCAGGATGGAAGCCTTCTCCTGCAGGCTGTATTCTCGGCGTGGCGTCATGGTTGTGGGAGGCAACAGAGTGCAATGATGACCTAGTGTGAGGCAGTGACCTTTTATTTGACCTGCGGGGCTTCCGGACGCTGGGCGAGGTCGGAAGGCGTGACCTCCGAAACAACCCACATCGCTCATAGTTACGGTAAATAGAAATAATCTTATTAAAAATTATACATTTTAACAACCAAACCTCGAATTATTTATATCTATTACTCCTCCCACACTTGGAAGTCAAAATTACACACATGAAAATGACAGCTTACAAAATTACTTCAAATGAATCCTCAATCTTTGATTCCCATTCAACCCCACTTGTAACGAATCGAAAATCCTCCTTGACTTCTACTCTTTATGCAAAATGTATCGTTTATTATGCCATATGCATTCGCTATGACAATTTCCATTTTAGTGTGACATTCGTGTCATACTAAATTACTTTGTAATTTACTTTGTAAATTCTATGTACAAGAACAACGTAAAATGTCGTTCTTCACAGTGTAAGCACTTTATAATAAGATCTTTAAAGGTTGAACGGAAAAGATATGATGTGATGCATATATTATGATGAAAGGCAATTCACTGATTAAGGCAACACATTGTTTTTATCTTGTATTAATGCATCTATTCAAAGCTCGTTGCTCTATTACCACATCCCAAGTATCTGAATCTGAGCGAAGCTTAAAGTTCCTCTATGACTGCATGTGTCAACATTTCGGAAAATCTTAGGCCATACTCATTTATTTACCCTGTGATTTGATCATTAAGTGTAAACAATAGTTCCTCACCAAAACCGAGTCTCTCTTCCTCAGAGCAATGTCCCTTTCCCTCAGGATTCGACGCAGCGGAGAGAAGCACGCCCACACGCCAGCCAACGCCCGCGGATTCCCACCCTTCCGGCGCCCTCGTTCCTAGGGTCTCCATCCTGTTGCTTTCATTTCAGCGTCTGCTTTACTAATTACTTTCTATCGATTCCTCCTGCCATCTATTTGCCGCTGCTGGAAATGGATTTCCTCTCTTTCATGAAGCGACTTCCGACTGGTGTGAGAATCAGCGTTTCAAGAATAAAATATGACGGTTCAAAATATCATTGTCACTTCATAAAGGATGAAGATACCATTATCATGAGAGCCATTTGACATGTAAAAGAAATTAGTAAACTTACACACGCAATTAAACAGAATTATTTATTTAATCTTATCATTCCCGCATAAATAACATGCAGTCAGTCTTTCTCAGAGCTTGCAGCCCCGGAGTCTCAGCGACGCCTCCCTCTCCTTCAGGACGCGGCTCAGCGTCGAGATGGACACGTTCAAATCGTCCGACATCTCGCGCAGATCCTCCGACTCGTA